CAGCTTTGTCTTTTGCGTCTTGGGCCAGTGAGTCGTCCTCCCTGTGCAGAGATAGTAGTGATGGCTTACAGAAATTTCTTTGGAAATCCTTGGCGAGAGACCAGAATGCACGGGTTCCCGAAGGAAGGCGAACTAGTTTCTCGCCAATTCTGCCTACATGCTCTGACTTTGCCATGGCAATAACTCTTTTGAAGGACCTGGAGGCGAAGTTATACTTCTTTTTAAGTGTGCTGGTGTTTACATCCCGGGTTGCCGAAGCCGCAGCCCAGGCTTGATAACACTCCTGCTTACTGCTTAATGCAGTCTTACAGGAGTGACCAAACCAAGGCTGAGATCTGCCTCCGATGGGTACCACAGATGATGGAATAAATAGTTCCATTCCCTGTAGCACCATATCAGTGACAGAGTCAGCAACAACGCTGGCATCATCCGGCGAGAAGCAAACCCGCCCCCATGGGTAGGATGCAAAGAAAGACCGGGATGAAATAATCCCGATCCGCCGACCTGTAATGCCAAACACGGCGGCAACCTGCAGAACGCAACCGCGAAGGGAGCGTGAGTGGCCCCACACTCCGGATCAGACAACGGTCCGAAGAGCCGAGAGGGGCATCGACGGAAACCTGATATCCGTCCGGATGAGAGGTCAGCAGAAGGTCCAACAGGGAAGGTGTATGATCCTCCACATCTGGAATCCGCGTAGGCGAAGTAACCAGTTGTGTCAGACCATATGCCAAGGCAAAGCCATAAACAGATCTCCCCGCATGATCTGTTAAACGTGAACCGAGCCATTCGGCATGGTGGGCGTTAATATCGCCAAGGATCACGATCTCTGCGGATGCGACCTGTTGTAGCAAGGAATCTGTAGCCATTTGGACGTGGTCGATGAGTCGGTCTGTTTCGGCATTTCCGCTATGGGACCTATAGAGGCATCCGTAGACGCGCGGATGGTCGTCGCTGTCTACGCGTAGCCAAAGGATGGACAGGTCCGAACCTTCAAGACTGCCGAGGCGTCGAGAACAGATGTCCTCTCTGACATACAAGCAAACTCCAGCCCGAGGCACAAAGAAGTGCTCCAATTTGTACCCCGGGTAGGAGAGATACGAAATATCAGCCGGAGAGGAAACCTGCGTCTCGGTCAGAAAGAGCAAGGCCAGCTTCGCCGTTTCGAGATGGTGGTGGACGGCGTTTAGGTTAGAGTGAAGTCCACTGATGTTGTAGAAATTCACGGATAGCGTGGCAGGGGTCGCCTTGGTATTGTTGGTCAGTTTGCCCCGAGCAGTTATGTTTTTGAGCGGAAGTTTCCCCCCCCCCCAGAATACGCGGGGCAGCCTGAGCATCCACGCTCAGGATTGGAATAACATGGACGTGGATGCTCAGCGAGGGATTCTCCAGGGGACTGGTACCGCCCTGGGGTAGTCTATCGTGTAATTCCGCTACCATGATGATGGGGGGGGGGGGGGGGGAATTGGGCCTCGGGCCACCTGCACTCACCAGACGAAACGTAGAAGCAGAGTCTCTACTTCACGCCGGTATTCTGTGAGGTCGTGGTACCAACCCGGCTCGAGCCGGCCCATACGTGCAACAGCAAAAACTGCTGCGTGGCTCTACCACCGTTAAAAAAAAAGTTCATTATAAAGTGTCTCTCTTTCTCCATGAAGTCAGCCAGCTGCTGGCCCCTTGGGTTCCGTTGCCCTATTCCAAATTTCACCTTCAGCTCACCGTTCTCTCTTGTGCCTAGTTTTGCGTTGAAGTCTCCCATTAACACCGTAGAGTGAGTTTTGGAGGAACGCATGGCTCTAGATATATCCTCATACATTTCCTCCACCTCCTCATCGGGATGTGCCGAGGTTGGTGCGTAAACCTGTATGACCTTCAGCGAGTACCGTTTGGTGATTCTGAGTATAAGGTACGCAACCCTCGCCGACACACTCCTAATCTTTAGAACGTTGTTAATTTGTGGACGATAAATCCGCCACCTCCTTGGGACAGATGGTCGCCCTCCCGGTGATAGAACAAGGTGCCGGATTCGAGGATTTCCATGTTCTCCCCCTCCCTTCGGATCTCAGATAATCCTATAATATTCCAGCGCAACTTGTCGATCTCTTCTTCCAGCTCCATGATCTTCTCTTCAGTCCTCAGGGAGCATGCGTTATACGTTGCCAGGTCGAGTCGTCTTAGGTGGAAATCGAACCTCCACCGGAGATTCTTAGCACCCCCTGCCTCGCAGTTACCATGGTCGCCACCGTAGCCAGGAATAGCGGAGCCGATGGGGACAGGGGGCCGTCTCTTCGTAACTTTAATCATGGGGGGTATATTGCCATAGTTGCCACGCTTTGCAAGCGGATTGGCAACCCCAATTTTTTAATATTGTCTTGCTGTTATCAGAAAGATGCTGCTGCCCATCTTCTGCCTCAGTTTCTCTCTGTCGCCTCTTACGAAACCCACGTGAAGAAATGGGGTAGTGAGTATTCTTAGCTGCCACTACGATTTGCTATCTGAACGTTACCGAAGCGCAGTAAAATAAACTTAGGCGTATTCAAAATTTATGCTTACGATTCATATTTGGGCTCCGTAAATATGATTCGCCTTCGCAGGAATACTCACATCCTTTCTGCTTTATACAACATACTGTATCGTAGAGAAGAGGGATTGAATCCCTCTTCTCTACGATACCTGAACGACCGCTTAGAATTAATTTCCTCCACTCTAGATCCCCTAACAATTTTTCGCCGCGTATTCCAGCACGTTTCGACGTGATCAGTCCCTTTTTCTACCGACTTCAAAAAGGAGCCGGTACTCAATTCGACTGTATGTTTTTTTATGTGTGTGTGTTACCTCATAACTTCTTACTGGGTGAACCGATTTCGATGATTTTTTATTTGAAAGCTGGTGCTTCCCATGTGGTCCCTTATATATTTGATCAAGATCTGGTCAATAGTTTTTGAGTTATTCTTAATAATTTATATTGAAGTCGGTTGTACAAAATTTTTTAATTATAAATTATTCCTTCAAAAATTTACTGTGAACTTGTTACTTGGAACTCTAATATTTTCCATCATAATTCCCTTCATTAATTGTATCTATCATACCTATCCTCAACCGTCATCATCCTGTGTGTATTTATATAGATAAAATTAAAACAGTATGTGTTTGTTTAATTGTCAAAAATAGGTACCACCTTCCCTATATGCAATTCGCTGTAAATAACAGTTTCTTTGCTAAACAACGATTGTCTGTAAGAAATCGCTTCCAGAGCGATACTCGTAAGATCACCTATTGTAGGTACTTTCTATATATTTATTTAATTTTGTTTCGTTTTAATGTGTATTGGTGTACAATAATATATTGATTGATTGATTGAGAAACCTATGTATAAATCGATTGGCGGCTCTTTGAAGCATCTTTGTGAGAAATATCTTGCTGTAATGGGCGACGTAGAGTGCTGTGTCATCGGCTAAGAGAGCAGTGTTGACATCTGGATCCTTCGGGATGTATCTCGTGTGGAGTGTAAAGAGGAGTGGGGACAGGACGGAGCCTTGAGGAACTCCAGCCCTGTGAGGGCGTTTCGAGGAGCGAGTTCCCTTTATTCGAAAGCGAAAATGGCGGTTGGCAAGAAAGGCTCTGATGATGTGAGTGAGCCGGGCACGTTGAATTTATACAGCTTGTAAAGCAAGCCATCGTGCCATACTTTGTTAAACGCTTTTGGACATTGAAGAAGAGGGCATCGTTGTTGTTAGTTTTCGACTACTTTAGTGGGAGAAGCCCTGTAGAATGTACTCCGTAAGGCGATGTACCTGATTAGTGCATGAGCGTTCGGGACTAAAGCTGAACTGCTCGTCTGGAAGAACCTCATTAGCGAAGAGGTGTTTTACAAAGGCGATTCAATATGATTCGCTTGTAAATTATCCCCGATGTGCTGAGGAGACTATAATGGGTCTATAGCTTGAGGCTAAGTTGCGCGGTTTCCCTGGTTTCGGGATTTCTATAACGTCTGCCTCTTCCCAAGCGTCCGAGAAAGAGCAGCTGGCGAGAAAAGCGTTGAAAATGCCTACTAGGAGGCAGACAAGTGGCGCTTTTTTTATAGGATTGGGTGACAAACGAGCACACAGTCCACCTGATGTTAAGTGGTTACTGTGACCCATAGACACCTACATCTATCCTCAATAAAGACTCAAGATGCAGATGCGTTGTCACCCGTGAGGACTAAGATGGAATGCCTCTTTGCCAGTAAAAAGGGTCTCCGGTTCTCTACACTCACCATACGAAACACAGTAGCGTTAAGCTGCTATTTTATGCTGGTTTTCTGTGAGAGCGTGGTCCTTCCCCAGTCGAGCCGACCCATTCGTGCTACAACCATAATATAGCTGCAGCATGGCTCTACCACGTAGAAATGTGTTGCTGAGTGTTTTCCGCACTCTGTTGCTAATGCCATCAGGGTCATTGTGTGTATGCGTCAGAGGCGATTTCTTTATGAGATTTTTTATTGTTTTTGTAACTTCAAGTTCACAATTACACAACCGTTTTATACGTGGTAGAGCCATGCTGCAGCTATATTATGGTTGTAGCACGAATGGGTCGGCTCGACCGGGGAAGGACCACGCTCTCACAGAATACCAGCGTAAAATAACAGCTTAACGCTGCTGTGTTTCGGATGGTGAGTGTAGAGAACCGGAGACGCTTTTTACTGGAAACGAGGCATTCCATCTTAGTCCTGACAACGCATCTGCATTTTGACTCGTAAAACAAGATAGATGTAGATATCTATGGGCCACAGCAACCACTTACCATCAGGTGAACTGTGTGCTCGTATGACACCCTTATCCTATAAAAAAAAACCTTATGGGTCGTCCCCCTCTCCACTAGATGGAGACGACCTGGGAAGACTTGCAAGAAGTCAATGAATACAGGTGGCTCAAGTCCGTGCTTCTTGGCATTCCTTGGAAGAGGCCTATGTTCAGCAGTGAGCTTAAGAATGAGTGTAATGATGATAATGATGATGACGATGGTACTAAAAATTTTATTTAACTTCAGATATCACAAACATTTCAGTGTGTTGCTTCAAGTTCTTTATATTACAAGAATTTAGCATAAATTAATGGAATATTGTTATTAACCTAACTTAACCTAAAATACCTAGTCAGGTCATAAGTATTGTCACACAGTAAAAACTTTTCTTTTAGAATGCTGGCCACAAAAAAGTTTATTGAATTCGAATTGTTCATGAAAATAAAACTGTATACTTTTAGAATTTTACTCATTTTTAAATATGGAGTGGACGCTTAAAGAATACAGTGTTGCAGTTATTGCATTGCATCGTTGCGGTTACGCGCCAATTCAGATTTTTGACATACTGAAAAATTTTAATATAACCAAAAGATTCGTTTATCGTACCATCAAACGATACAATGAAGACTCTAGTGTAGATGACAGATCAAGAAGTGGTCGCCCTCGGTCTGTTAGGACTCCAGCAGTGATAAAAGCTGTGAATGCGCGAATTCAAAGAAATCCAAAACGTAAGCAGAAACTGTTGGCCCTTCAGATGGGTTTAAGCAGAACCACGGTGAAAAGGGTGTTAAATGAAGACTTAGTGCTTCGGGCATATCGAAGAAAAACAGGACATCGTTTGAATGCTCGTCTAATGGACCTGAGACTGAAGAGATGCCGCGCTTTGTTGAAGCAGTACGCGGGAAAAAAATATCGGGAAATTCTTTTTTCGGATGTAAAAATTTTTACCGTAGAAGAGAGCTACAACAAACAAAATGATAAGGTGTACGCACACAGTAGTGAAGAAGCGAGCAACCGTATTCCGCGTGTCCAACGAGGTCATTTTCCATCCTCGCTCGTTGTATGGTTGGGAGTTTCTTATTGGGGCTTAACAGAGGTACATTTTTGTGAGAAAGGTGTAAAAACGAATGCAGTTATGTATCAAAATATAGTCCTGACGAACCTTGTGGAACCTGTTTCTCATACCATGTTCAATAACAGGCACTGGGTATTCCAACAAGATTCGGCGCCAGCTCATAGAGCGAAGAGCACACAAGATTGGCTGGCGGCGCGTGAAATCGACTTCATCCGGCACGAAGACTGGCCCTCCTCCAGTCCAGATTTGAATCCGTTAGATTACAAGATATGTTAACACTTGGAGGAAAAGGCGTGCTCAAAGCCTCATCCCAATTTGGAGTCACTTAAGACATCCTTGATTAGGGCAGCCGCCGATATTGACTTGGACCTCGTTCGTGCTGCGATAGACGACTGGCCGCGCAGATTGAAGGCCTGTATTCAAAATCACGGAGGTCATTTTGAATAAACTTTAGTGTCATAAGAATCTATGTTTTGTTAAGTTCATTTTGGTATATAAATGGTTACAACTTGTTTCAATTATTTTATATTAAACATGTGACAGAATTTATGACCTGACTAGGTAGAAATATAGTAACTACATTTTACACAGATATAATTTTAAAATTCCACCTAAGTGCCACCTGCAGTTAATTTCAAACAAAGATGGCTACAGGTGCGTTGTCACCTCTGAATAAGATGGAATGCCTCTCAACATGTAAATCTGCTGGCTCTATATCCTTCAGACCGGAACAGCAGAGCAAGCAATATTATTTGGCGGCAGAAATAGGTAAGGGAAAGAAGAGAAGTCCTGCCTCCTAGTACAAATATTTCCGAATTAAATTGTCGATCAAATTATGAAACATCACATGTATGAGTCCAACCCATATGGGTTAAAGAGGGCATAGTGAACACCCTATTGCATTTCAGACAATTCCAATCGGGTTCTTCGTTGTGGTCGTCACTAAAATGTTTTAAAACATCACACACGAAATTCGCCCCTGTAAATGTCAAACGACAATCTGTGCAAATTATTTTAATGGCGTCCTCAAACGATATATCCGTGTTAGCGTTTTTACCACTAGTTCTCATCTGAAATTCACACATTGGTGAAACTATTTCCTCCAGTTGCAAATCAAAATTTTCAGCACCCTCATCCTTCTTCTCATTCGGAACATCCTGGTACAAATATCTAATATATTTATTTTTGCTTATATATCTTCTAAAATCACATGGTATGCTTAACGTTTTTGGCACACTGTTTAAATCATTTAGTAAAATATTCTTTAAAGTATCTAAAACCGACCGCCATTTTGAATTTTTATCGGATTTCAGTAGTTTCTCAAAATATTTTAAAATATGTTCTCTTAAAATTTGCGTGCTGTTTTTTCTTTCAGGTTTCACCAGTATCTGTTCATTCAGGTCGGTAACTTTGCGTGTTTCCGAAGCGAGTTTTTTATTAACTAGCATGTGTTTAAGTCTGTGCAAATTTCGATGTTTGTAAATTATAAATTTATTATCAGCCTTAATCCTTATTTCTATCTCCACCCCCCACCAGTTCACAATAGACTCGAGGGTAAGCATTTTAGAATTGTGCAGTCCTAACTTAAAATCTGTAGTTAAATTAAATACATTTTTATCCAACGGTTGGCGGTAAAACAGACAGTTCAGCTGTTGCCTTGTTGCTTCCACTTCCATTACTACACTATGATTATCATAACGATTTTCTTCCATTTTTATCTGATTAACTTTACTATTTGCTAATTGTCGGGCCACATTTAACATTCCACGTAAATATTCTTTTAAATTAATATATTTCTCTTTTAGTATCTTTGATATTCCGGCGCTGTCATTTGTTTCTTTTAATTTTAAAACTGCTTGTTCAAATTGATCCCACTCTGGCCAATTCTTGATAAACTTCTTTAAAACATTTAAGTAAACTTCTACTTCGAATTTGTGTAGCATATTAGTATCCATAAAAAACTCTCTCTCTAATATTTCAATAAGTTGGGCGTCAGTCACCACAGTGGTTTGCTTTGTATCGTTTGTGATGAGACTTCTGATAAGGTCAATGATAGGTCCGTCTGAAATTAAAATGATTTAAAATTATTTAACAAAGTAAAGTAACAGGATACATCATAATATCTTCTATGATTTTCAATGCCTAATCTATAAATACTCATTTATCGATTAGCCATTAATCAGTAAATTAAACTAATTTTACGGATTTTATCTCATTTAGTTTTGACTTTTTAATTCCCAATCTTTCGGGTGCCAATGCCCATGGTCACGGAGGTGACTGAGGTGTTTGACATCTCGCCCTCTTAGCCCGGCTACCTTCCGTTTTGGAATATTATTCTTTCGTCCAATCTACACAGCACGAGTAGCAGTATCTTGATGTCTTGCATTGGTATGCTTGCTTTTTGATTTATTTTTATTAAATATAGGATTTCAAGCAAATGGCAGCACCCATCCATCTTCTCTATTGAAATTAGGATGTTTTATTTATTTCAATAGCCTTGCTTCAAAAACCCCAAACAATAATTTTGTTCGCGACGGCCTAACAACTTTAAGAAAGAAAATGATGAAAGAATATTGTTTTGTATAAAAAGTGAAATTACCAACGAAATCGAGTAAATAGTTTGTTAATATAGTTTAACAGCATGTTTATAACTTTTAATATATTTGTATAGAATGTCGCTTTAATAATAGTTAATCCGAACAAAAACAGTTTCACTGTAAAGCATCGCGCCAAGTACACTTTCAACTATAGTTACAAAAATAATAATTACATTTTTACAAAAATTATAAAATAAAAAGAAACAAAGTACATACCCGTATTAGATTCAAAAAAAATTTTGCTGACAAAGTAATAATAAAAAAATGGTGTACTTGGTATGGATCATTAAGAGTATAGATCACCCAACTTGACATTGGAAGTCGTTTTTTTATAACTTTTTTGAGTTATGATCGTACTATAAAGTATAATGCACACCAAGTACATAATTTTTTTATTATTACTTTTTTCAGCAAAATTTTTTTTCGAATCTAAAACGGGTATGTACTTGGTTTTTTTTTTATTTTATAATTTTTAACTACCTCTACAACAACTGATTTGCACTCATAAGATAATATGAGTAGATTTATTTCAAGAAAATTTAATCAATCTATCTCATATTTTGTATAAATCAATTTTATTTTGCTATTTTAAGAAAACTGAAAAAAAATTTCGTGGACGTTCGGATTTTTTTGCATGGTAATGATAACTCTCGAAAAATTTAACGTATCGAGACCGGGTTTTGTTTATTTTTTTAAGAATTATATTGAATAGGTACTTATTTCATAACAATAGTGATGTTTTTTTTTATATAAAAAAGACTCCATTTATTATACAGTCAACTTATGTATAAAACTTTAACTTTGAATTTCAATGTAACTCTGAATAAAACTCTACTCACAATTAAATATGGCTGTGCAATGTGACGCATCAACAAATTGTAAAGCAGTGTACTATAAAGGACTATAATCATTTGATACCGAGATAAATGAAAACATGGCTTAAAAGACAAGCATCCAAGTTAACAATCTTTAAAAAGATAAATTATTCGGCCGAAATTATTAAAATCTTTTTATGGAGTGTAGAGTAGAAGGAGAACCATCTTATAAGGTGCGAAAGTTGAAAAAGTGTCCCACTATATGCTGAAAACAGAGGTTCCAAAACTACCACAATAGCGCTGGCGTCTGAAAAACTACAAAATGAATATAGCTGTTGTAGACGGAGTGAAGTCAGCTGAATTCAAATATTTAAAAAATTTCATGACTAGAGTAGTTAATAAAATGCCAGTATACAAAACCTCAACTATTTACATAGTACAAAACCAAGCGGAATGGTCGGTCCTTGTTTATTTCCCCATCTTATTCTAATTAATTTTGGCGCTTTTTTTAAATTTATTCTATGCTAGTGCAGCGCCACCCTTATTCGACGCGTTTTTAGGGACACTTTTCATATATAGAAATGGTCCTCCTTCTACTCAACACTTCATAGTGGAATCTTTTTAGTGTTATATGGAAACAATTAATAAACAAAATGATAAATGACTGTATAAAGTGTTGACGTTTCGTTAATAATTAAATATATGAAGTTAAAAATTAGGTGAGGTTATGTTGACATCTGTTTCGAGAATATATACACTGTAGCCTCACGTCTATACGCTTACAGACATATACATAATATATTGAACGTGTACTTGGCGTGAGACACTACAGTGTTTCGGGATATCTTCAAAATGATTATTTATTCGATATATATATTTAAATGGTGATTAAAAACATCAAAAATATCGATATGTTATTCACATACTTTGATGTTTTTAGAATAGAATAGAATAATTTTTTATTATAATATACACTACATGAGTAATTCTTATTGAAAGTCATTTTTTACTTTACCACTGGTTCGAAAAAAACTCTCTGTCCTGGGAAGAACCAACAAGAAACCCAGCGGGACTTTTTTTTAAATAAATTTTACAATACAAAATGATTACAAACTATTTAAAACATTTATTTTAGAAACTGCTTGGAAGCGACCACCCAGGGCTTATTATCAACCATGTATTCATTTATACTATAATAACCCTTTTTTTTAAATCGATGTTTCACTTTCGAAAATATCGAGGTTCTAATATCGCTTTTTTATGAGCGATGTTGCGTCCCTACCACCATACCAATATTCTCAAGATAAGGTGTCTATCTGCTTAGACGCCTTGAGATAATATTGCCAACTATCTGCTGGCTCAATTTGCCGTCGAAATCGCCAAAGGGCTGCGCAATGTGACGCATCAACATATTGTAAAGCAGTGTATTATAAAGGATTATAATCATTTAATGCTGGGATAAATGAAAACATGGTTTAAAAGACAAGCATTCAAGTCAACAATCTTTAAAAAAATAAAAAATTCCACCGAAATTAATAATATCTTTTGTATATGGAGTGTAGAGTAGAAGGAGAACCATCTTATAAGGAGCGAAGGTTGAAAAAGTGTCCTACTATTTACGGAAAATAGAGGTTCCAAAACCTACCACAATAGCGCTGGCGTCTGAAAAACTACGATATGAAGATAGCTGTTATGAACGGAGTGAAGTCAGCTGAATTCAAATATTTCATGACTAGAGTAGTTAGTAAAACGGCAATATACAAAATCTCAACTATTTACGTAGTACAAAACCAAGCGGATTGATCGGTCCTTATTTATTTCTCCATCTTACTCTAAATACTTTTGGCGCTTCTTTTTTAATTTATCCTATGCTACTGCAGCGCCACCCTTATTGGACACGTTTTTAGGGACACTTTTCATATATAGAGATGGTCCTCCTTCTACTCTACACTCCATACTTTTGTAGAATCGGAAAAGTGCGCAAGCAAAAATTTGAGATATTGAAAAGTATGAAATAATTGATAGATAGAAATAACGTTTAGTGTTATATGGAAACAATTGATAAACAAAATGATAAATGACTGTATAAAGTGTTGACGTTTTGTTAATAATTAAATATATGAAGTTAAAAATTTGGTGATGTTATGTTGACATCTGATTCGAGAATATATACACTGTAGTCACAGAGTAAGGACCAGAGGGGAAGCTTTCTAACCACGTCGAAAACCTATACCTATTCTGATAGGGTTATCACCTGATGCATGTGAAAATTTTAAGGAAAAAATAAAAATATTATATAGCATAAAATAAAATGTGTAGTAATGGTAACTTAAGTTAATATAATAACAAGTCTGATAATTGTAATTAAAATTGAAACTGCATAAATTGTATATTTTGCTTATTTTCATGCTTAGCTTCACATAACATATACATATCTATATTTCTATCAATATCATTTTCGTAAGAAAGCGTATTCATGAGTACAAAAAATCAGATGCTATTACTAATGACTGTGATGATGGTAGTGGACAGTGGCGGTGTTCGTAGTGTTGATACACCACCACCACCAACGTTACTACCAGGATGATGGTGGCGATAGTTAGGGATGTGGTGATGATGCTGGTCGTGGTGGTGATACCAGTGATGGTCCACCGTCCACCACCACCACCAATGATACTACCAGCACCACCACAATCACTGTTACTATTACCAGCACGTACAGCACCACCGTCCACCATCACCATCACCAGCACTACTACCACTAACAGTAACTGCACCACTTTTTGGTGCATTGGTGTATTGTATTATTTTCTCTCGAATTTTCCATACATACAGTACAACTTAGGCATTTAGCTTATACGAACACTAATTATCTAATATAAATATATACTTATAAATCTATAATGTCTAATTGATAGTACACAATCTCTAAGCTTATCTCTTATTGTAAAAAAAATAATAGATTTATTGATCTATAAAATCACGAAATATTATTCTTCTATTTATATCAATGCCAACACCAACAGCTCTTTCATTCGCACTCTGACTGAGCCGGCGCAAACCGGTTTGTACCCCGACGAAGCGTCGGTGAACCTGTCGGTGAGAGCTCACGCACACATCGCTGCGCTATGTGTGGGTGTACCCGAAGCGAGTCGTTTATATGAAGCTTCCCCTCTGGTCGGTTTCTTTACTCATGTGCTGTAGTCTCACGCCTACACGTTTACATACATATACATATGTTGAACGTGTACTTGGCGTGAGACACTACAGTGTCTCCGGATATAAACAACTTTAATTGCTTAGGAAAAAATCGACCAATCACAGCGCGTCGTATCGTAGAACTTTCTGGAAGTTTAATTAACTGCGCAATAGTTTATACTAAAAGTAATGAGAATAATTTTGTGTTCTAAAAGAGTTGTAAAAATAATATTTAGTTAGCATATGGTATATAGATTACGAAAGCGAAGAAATAATTTGTATAATTAAAGGCATTTGATCATTATAGAAAAATTAAAGAATTAATGTACCCATTTATTATGTTTTTTTAAATATTAATGTATTGAATAACCTTTATCATATACTGATAAAGGACAAAAATGCCGATTTAATGATGTACAGCATGTTAGTGTAGAAATTAGTCTTGTATAGAA